ATCTCACAGAGAATAACATTTTGGCATTTATCCACCTAAGTGCATTTTTCAAATTTAAATGCAATATATTTTATTTTCCAATTAAATCCATTAGAAGAAAATGCTCAGGAGCTTGAAAATGAAAAAAAAATCCTTAGCACTGGTTGGGGAAAGTAGATATCATTCAGTATCCAAAACACAGTTCATAATACTTGTATCAATCAGTTAAACATACTGGATGCAAAGTTTCGTCACCAGGGGTGAAAACAGCCAGTCGCAATAATATATATATATTTTTATATATATATATATATATATATATATATATATATATATATATATATATATATATATATATATATATATATATATATATATATATATATATATATATATATATATATATATATATATATATATATATATATATATATATATATATATATATATATATATATATATATATATATATATATATATATATATATATATATATATATATATATATATATATATATATATATATATATATATATATATATATATATATATATATATATATATATATATATATATATATATATATATATATATATATATATATATATATATATATATATATATATATATATATATATATATATATATATATATATATATATATATATATATATATATATATATATATATATATATATATATATATATATATATATATATATATATATATATATATATATATATATATATATATATATATATATATATATATATATATATATATATATATATATATATATATATATATATATATATATATATATATATATATATATATATATATATATATATATATATATATATATATATATATATATATATATATATATATATATATATATATATATATATATATATATATATATATATATATATATATATATATATATATATATATATATATATATATATATATATATATATATATATATATATATATATATATATATATATATATATATATATATATATATATATATATATATATATATATATATATATATATANATATATATATATATAACGTTTTCGAATCGTTGCTATTTCCTTTAAATGTTATCCTGAAAAATATGCAATTGAAATTACAGATAAAGCTCAAAAGTGCTTTCGGTTTGGTCCTGGTTTGTTTTCTTTTTTCTGGGAGAGTAATTAATACCCTCCTATTAAATTTTTTTTGTATTTTAATGTCTCTAATATCTTTAAATTTCATGAAGAAAAAGTAATCAGATTTTCATAATTTTGCTTTCTATTTTTAATGGCATCAAGCATATTAAATATTGTTTTATTATTAGTTTTTGGCTCTACTGTTTTGCTTTGGGTTTTTATAATTCAACTAAAAGAAAATAATAAATTAGATTGAAAAAAAAATATTTTAAATGAACAATAAAACATTCCACCGCGTAAGATTTTTTTGTCTAATAAATATTACGGAACATTTAAAAAGAAACTTAATGCTTCTAACTTATTTTGAATCTAATTGTTTTTTGAGTAAACATTAATACAGCTTTTAACTACAAAATATTTCAATCAATTCAAGCTTCTCAAAAGAAGTTTCAAATTGGAAAATAATAAAAAAAAAAAAACATATTTAAAAAGATCACTAACACCTTTCACCTTAAAATCAAATTATCTTTTCAAAAAATATGAGTGTATAAAAAATATTTTTTTAAGAAAGAAAGTGAAATCTTTGCAAATTGGAAGAAATATATTCCCTTTTTTATACTTAAGTGTAATTTGATTCTGTTTTTGCTTTTGAAAGAAAATGGATGAATCTACATGCTTTTACTGACTCGTTTTTTTACTTTACTCTTTTTTTGATTTCAGAACTATATCTTTGTCAATAAATCAATAAGAGTTTTGTTGAAAAGTGATTTTTACACATTTATATCAAGCAAAAATAATTATAGTCTCTAAATGTGTATTTACTTTCAGCTAGAAAAAGCACATGTCAGGAATTTAATAAAAAAGATTAAAACTTTATTAAATCATAATTTTGATGTCAAATTGAAAAGTTATGTATAATAAATTATTCCTAAATAATCACACACATAAATATAGGGTGTTCGAAAAGTATATATCTCAGAAATTATTTGATTTTTCATTTAAGAATTAATTATTTAAATAAATAATGAATAGATAGCAAATAAATAGCAAATAAATAATAAATAGATAGCAAAGTTATTTTTTATCTCTCTGCACTGTAAAAAATTACGCTGCAACAGTACTGGCACCCTGAGTGAGACATGCGTAAAGTCTATTATACTGTAAAATCCATTATTACCGAAAACAATTCCATATCGTAATTTTTGGAAAAATATTACTGTTAAAACACTAGACTATCAGATTTTTTAATTCTCTAAATTTTACGCTAAAAATAGATTTTACAGTAAAACATGACATCATGAGTTTTTCGCAAATTTTTTATATAATTTTTTTCATCAAACTTCGTAAAATTATATATGCTTTTTGAAAAAATTTTTTTACGATAAACAAAGTAGACTTTTCGGCTCATAATAATCATTTAAGAAATTGCGATTTTTTTTTTTTTTTTGAATTTCAGAATAAATTTATTTTAGTGAAATTAAATAAAGGCTGACCTGTTAGTGAATTGGAGATTTAGAAAATTCAAGCAACAAACATTTCGGAACATGAATAAATTTTTTTATTTTGTGTCAAATATTTACACTATAAGTGTTAAAAGTAATAAATAAAGTAAGCTATATATATTAAAAGTAATTTTCAAAGTAAAAAAAAATAAATAAATAAAGTATTAAAATAAATCTATAATAAATAAATAAACAAATTAAAAACAGAAACTGAAATATAATAAAACATCATTATTTGCTTTAAGTTAAAGTTTAGCGATGTTAAAATAAAATATTAAGATGAGTGCGAAAATTAAAATTTCGTAAATAACTTTCTCACTTTTGTAAAATTATCTATATAAAAATCTAAATTATTATATTTCGATTCATTTCGAATAAGTAAAAGTAATGTATTTAAAAATATGTTTTAGACATTTTAAGCATTTTTCAGATTTGGAGCTACGTATATAAAGTTTAAAACAAATTTGATAAAATGATCATTGAGATATAAATTTGTTCTGTCAAAGTTTCTTATAGTTAAAAATAAAAACAAAGTATTTTTTCACGATTTTAATGCTATAAAACACAAGTTTTTTTCCAATTTGAAGAAAATTAATAGCATTAATTCTTTCAATTTTTAATTTCTTTTATTTTTTTGTCCTGGATCCACTTCATTTATTAAATCCCATGGTTATGCTTGTCGTTTTATTTTCAGATTGAAATTAAAATTCCAATATTTTTCTCGTTCAAAAATCGTTTAAATATTTCGCTATCCATTTATGAGAAGAAAAATTGTTCAATGGTTAATGTATAAAATATCATATGAATAGAAATATATTTCTTTAGTTGTGTTAGGGTAACATTTTGCACAAAATATTTTCGACCTTGCAATAGGATTACGATTAGGAACATATAACACCATAAATTTATTGAGCATTAAAGTATCTCAGAAAAATGTTCAAATAAGCATATTTATAACAAAAAAAGACAAAAGAGCTGACTGCATTGTAAAAAATTCCGGATACAAATTAGGGTAAAATGTACTAGCAATATAAATGACAGTACTTTTTTCCATCAAATCCATCATCACAATTTTACGGAATAGAAATCCGATTTACCGTAATTTTTACATTTATTTTCACTTAATGACAGTAATTTAATATATATTACTGTAAAATTTGCGGTATAAAACTTAACGCCAAAATTGGATTTTGCAGATTCTGTGCTAAGGGTGCCAATACTTTTTACCGTAGTTTTATTGGTTTTTTTTCTTCCCTTTGTAGATCTAGTCTGATGAATTAAAAGACTATTTTATGTTGTGAAAATGACTAAAAATTGTGCTTTTGCACTATTCTTAAGAGCTTTTTGTGCTGTGCAATCTCATTAATAGTTTCCAAATATCTTTTCTAACAAAAAGAAAATAACATCTATCAGAATGAGTTTGCCATATGTTGCACAAAAAATATTAGGTTTAAACATTCTCAGAGGTAATTTTTAGGATCCAGCAATGAGATCAAGCATGTTGAATTAATTAAAAAGAAAGAAAAAATAATTTAATGATTATTAAATTTGAAAAAAAAATTAAACAAATCCTTTTACTGAATGAAATTGCTTAAAATACGCGAGTTAATTCAAAGTGAAAGTTTAGATTTAAAGTTTAGAAACTCAAGTAATAAGCTTAGGAGGCAGTAATTTTAAAATAAACACAGATTTTCTTAAATAGAGTCAGCCTTTTAAATATCTTCAATGAACTTAAAATGAAAGCGTAATTTTAAATAATTCTGAAGAAAACTTCAACATATCTTAAACTCACATTAGAAATTTAATAGCATTTTGAAGAATCTTGAAAAGTTTGAACTAGACGAAAAAAATTATTGCGTTTTCTTTAGTAAGTTTAACGATTTTCTTTCATCTATTCCATATGGTGTACAACTCTCAGCTCTCTAAGTATGTTTTGAAGATTCATTTTTCGATCAAATGATTTTTCGATCAATATATATATATATATATATACATANTATATATATATATATATATAAATAGAAAACTCAATGCATTTGCATTTTCTTTTACTTAAGTCACTGATTAAATTATTTAGAAAAAATAGAATGAAACATCAATTATCACATTTTGACTAAATATTTTACCAGAAAAAAATATATATTGAAGCAATCTTTCTAAAATACGAAACCATTTTGCATATTAATAATTTTACCAAAGCAAAACATTGCTTGTTGTAATGTTCAAATTTTTATCATTTTAACTATTGCATATAAAAGGCATACAATGCGTTCGTATTTGTTTGATTTCATTACTTATTCAATCTAAATATTAAAAAATATTATTCTGAAATTAATAAATTATTTTTTTTTTCAGATTGTTTACCAGTTCGCTTCGCTTACCTAGGAGTACCTGGTTTTGTACTTAAAGGAGATTCTGTTTGGTTAGATTGCGGCTATGACCTTGAAGGAAATGAACTTTATTCTGTAAAATGGTATAAAGATAATGTCGAGTTTTATAGATATCTACCTAGTGACAAACCTTCCGCCCAAAGATATACTTTAGAAGGAGTCTTTATTGATGTAAGTAAATTTTTTCCAAAACTATTTTGTGTAATTATAAAGCATTAAATATTTTAATATACTGGAGATTTTAAAAAACAGTTATGTTGGTGTGATAGTAGTATTAGTTTATTTACGTCACATTGCAGCTGATATTTTTGGTGTGACCTTTAATCTATTTTATTATATTGTTCGAAAAATCTCGATAATATTTTGAAAAGTTTACTTTTTCTTAAAAATATCTGCAGAATATTATAATGTATCTCGTAGCCACTCTTAAGTCCAATTATTCATTTTAAAATTGCTACTCAATCCTCATTTCATCATGCGTTAGTCAAGCTGTTGTAAGAAATTTTTTTGTTGGTATTATGGCCTAATTCCTGAACCTTCTGAAGAAAATAAACTTTCCTGAAAATCGTTAAATAATATGAATCAAACAGATTAGATTAAAATATGCCTCAAAAGCACAATGCCAAATGGTCTTATGTTTATTTATTAAAATGTTATTAAAAAGAAGTCGATAGCGAACTAACAATCCTTTTAACAGTAATCTGAATGTTTTTCAATGTATTCCATCTACATTTTAAGTTTTGAGTTTGAAAATATTTTCAGATTCCATTCTGAAGACTTTTGACATTTTTTTCTTCATAACAAGATTTTTAAATAATGAAACAATGGATCAAATACCTTTATTTCTCTTTAAGGAAAAAATGCAGATTATTTTTAGTATGGACTTCAGTTTACTAAAACGCTTTTATAATAATGCATTGATGAATATAGCAACCATTTGTTAGAAAAGAATGAAGAATTTGATTATTGATAGTTGTAGTTCATTTATATTGCAAAAAATGAATGCTATTATGTAATTATTATGAACTATTTTCACCTTAACAAATAATATAGTCTTACTATGAGTTGCTAGTATGATGTTAAATTTAAGTAAACAAAATTAATAAGCACTGAGTGACATTCGATCTGATTTCCTTTAAGAATTAAATTAGTAAGAATGATGAGTATTACTGTGTATGATGAGTATTACTGTAATTCAAAATTGAATGAATTAGTTGTATATAATAACTATTCATTCAGTTTTTATGGTATAAAATTTAAAAAATTTTATGAATAATATATCACAAAAATGTACTCTAATGATGTCGGGAATTTTTAAAGAACCATATTTTCCAGTCAGACTATGACAAATAGAGTATCGACCAATAAATGTTTCAACATCTATGATAGATATACAACTTTTATTCACATTCAATTGTTGGTTAAAGCTCCATGAAAGACAATTTTAGTCTTACATTTGGAGTATGCTTTTTTACAAGTTATTGTATGACAGCTAGTGGTAATTTCCTCCACTCGGCTTGGAATTGACATAGAAGTTCTTGAACCAATTTTGGATAATCGTTGATTTGGTGATTCAAAAATATCCACAGCTTATTAATAGGGGTCAAGTCTTGGCTCTGGGTAAGACAGTTAATTAAGTTAAATCTATATCAATCTATAATATTTTAAAAGAAAAATATTAAACAGAAGATGATAGGAAAGGATTTATAAACGAAGAATTGTCTATTATTCTGCAATCTTAATCACTCTAAATAGAACTTTTTTATAGTAATAGTTTTCATTGTTTAGATACTTACAAACAAGCTGTAATCTACTTTTTCAAAATTTTACTATAGCCACGTCTAAACTTCAGAATAATGGCAATAAATTAATTCCAAAAAGTTATAACTATGTCCATTAAAAATGACACGAGGAAAGCAACAATTAGTTTCTGCTTGGTCGAAAGAGCTCCTAGGTTACATCCGAGTTAAAACAATTAATTATCCCATGTGAAGTTTGGTGCGCAACTGAAAACCCAAACTACAATTAAAATATACATGCTTTCAAGACAACTAAATAATGCACCGTCAGTTTCTAGATTAAACTGAGGGAGACAAGGGTATTTTTCAACTAAGGGAGGATACCCCAGTTATTGTCTCAATTTTTTAGTGCATTATAACATTGCACAGTTAAAAAAACGACATATTCATTTTAACATTGTAATACAAATTTCAAATTATTTATTAAAGTAAACTACTTGAGACAAAAATGTCCCTTATCATCTTTCATATAAGAATAGCCAATATTTAATTCTATAAATTCATTGATTTTTTGAACTCCGAATTATAAAAGAAATAATAACTTGAACTTGTATAAATTCACTACTAAAGGTATTTTAAAGAAAATGAAGAAAAAAGAGAGTGGAAAAATTTAGCGTGATTTTAACAATGTTCCATTTTTGGATCATCAGTGTTTAACAGATTTTTTTTCCTTTTATTTACTGATGGTTGCTTCGGTTACTTCAACTGCGGCCCATCCAGTACATGTCTGGCACAGAAAAGTGTGAAATCCGCTAAGAAGTCCAAGAAATTTGAAGACATCATCTTAAACTTATTAATTCATTGCAAAATAATTAAAGTTTAAAATAATAATAAATTAATTAAAGTATAAACTTACTGCGAAGCAAATAATGACCATGGATTGAAGACATATTCTACATATTCTCCTACAGGAAAAATCTGTCAGCAGGACAAAATTTCAAAACAATTTTTTAAAAAAAGTTTGCTTTTTCAGAATTTTTGGCTTATCAAATTTCATTTCCTTATTCAACTTTATGATTGGGCTTTCCCTCTTTCATTTTTTATTTGCACTTGATCCTAAGATTCGATTTTTCTCTTCATCTGCTAAAATATTGCCTTTGAAAACAATATCCACTATTCCGGTGGCACAGATTGGAAATTAATTTTCTGTGTGTTTTTCTTCTGTATCAAATCTTCTGCTTTGCCAAGCTGTATTTGAAAAATATCTATATTTTCTGAACCTTAAACAAAGTTCCTAAAAACGACATTACTTTTTGTACCGTTATGCAACTTAAACATGATGCTAAGGGCAAGAAAAATTTTGACTACTTTCGTTTACTCATTTTGTAGCAACAAATGTCTCCTGAAAAAAAATCAATACCAATATTCTATGCAATACTATTGTTGGGACTATATTGAAAAATCCAACTCCATCATTCTCAAATGAGAAAAAGAAAAAGCATAACAACTTCTAAAATATACCACTTTACCTGGAAACTGTTAGACTTTCATGAAATGAGAAAAAATAATGAGTATGAATGAGTATTAGTCTTACATTATTTGATAAGTATAACCTCTGTCTCTAACACTCTATCATTAGCCACCAGAAAGTTCATGTTAATCTAACTCTTCGCATACTGGTCTCTCTCTTGGTCAAACGAAGATGAACACCTTTTAACTTCAGCACCATATTTTTTTTAAAATTAAAGCCACAATACTAATACCACACAATATTACTCAATGAATTAAATGGAATCTAAAAATATAACTCCTTAAGACACTAATGTTCCGAAAAAGGAACACTTGGTTTTGAACTAATATTTCAACTTTAAAATAAAATTTCGATTTGAAATCCAATCGAGAGTTATATTATCATCCTAAGTATTGAAGTCGTCTTATAAAAATTGGTTTTTTCGTAAATTATATTAAAAGCAGTTAAAATCAACAAATTGTATCAAATTTCAAAAACTCATACAAATAAAATAATTATGAAAATTGAATGAAATTGGATGCAAGAAATACTTCATAGTCAAATTCAAATATGATAGAAAACAATATTATTTGAACATTATATATTGTTTGTTTGTTAAATTTAAATTCAATGTCCATGCTCCATCACTGAAATATTGGCAGGCAAACGATTTAAAATCAACTGATATATAAATCATAAACTTAATTTTAAAGCTTATTTCATGTACACGTAAACAAATATGAAAAGCGCTGTATTTTTCTTATTTTCCTGGGTTTGAATTCAGAAATTTAAGACATTTCTCTTCCATGTATCAACTATTTAGTTTCGTTTAAGAAAAAGGAACTGGTTTTAGGAAATTTCGCAGCGTTTTCTTTCGGCAATATTACAAATGGACTGAATTAAATGTTCTGAAATGTGACAATGGATAATATTTCTAGCTTACTGAAACCAAGTAAATTAAAAAAATGGATAAAATCTAGTTGGTTGGTTTTCGTGCACTGGATGGTGCCAGGGACGGTCCACATAGCCTGAGCTATCTGCAGACAATTGTCATAGAGTATAAAATCTTGTAATATGCGATATAAATTATTTTTCTTTAAATAGAATTCAATTAACAAGATATTAAAAATTAAACTGTAGTTTAAATCGTATCTGAGTACGAATTGAACAGTACTGATCCTCAGAATAAATATAACAGATTCCGTCCAACTCTAAATGTTGACAAAAATGCCAATTATATTTCATATGCTAACGTATCAAATCAGTTAAGATCTGCCAAAACTCCAGTATCCTACCTTTGAAATTTTTCCGAAAGGAAAAATTCAACTGAGTGAGTGATTTCATTTTTCATAAAATAGAAATTGGCTGAGTTCCGCTGTCGTTATTCCAACGCCTCTATCACTTCATATTTTTCTAAAGATAAAAGCTTCTAATCAATTTTTCTCATGAAATATTTAAAATGTGTTATAAAAACATTATTTGCCAGTTTGCGCTAGCCTAAGAAGAGAAAAAGATATCTATGCAAATAATTGTTCTTATGAGGGTAATATTTGATGGCATGACATTGATTGAATTCTAACTATTAATTTCTAGATTTTTAAAACATCATAATATTTATTTAAATACAATTTAGTTTCTTGATCACCTGCTATAAGCGCTACCATATACACTCATGGACAAAAAAATTAGCACACCAAGAAGGAGTTGTCAAAATGAAACGAAATTTTACATACGTAATGACTACTTTGATATAAGTAAATGATTAGAAAATCAAAGATTATCGAATTTCTTTGATTTTCTAATCATTTACTCATATCAAAGTAGTCATTACGAATGTAAAATTTCGTTTCATTTTGATGACTCATTTTTGGTGCGCTAATTTGTTTGTCCATGAGTGTATATTAAAATAAATTTTAATTCCT